GGGACACCTAGAGAATTTGGACATGGTCCTTAGATGTTTTTCTGAGACAGGCGCATACCTAAGAAGGAACAAATGTGTGTTCCAGGTCACCCAAGTGACCTACTCAGGCTACAGAGATGATAAGACCAGCGTACACCCATTGGAAGGCAAAGTGAGGCTGATCAAAGGTGCCCTGGCTCGTATGTCTGTCCAGGTCATTTCTTGGCCTGGTATATTATTATGGAAAGTTCATACATAACATGGCTTCCATCCTGGCACCTTTGCGTCAACTCCTAAAAAACGGTCAGCCTTGGAAGTGGTCATCAGAATTGGAGTGTTTCAGTGGAAATTGCAATTCACCATGGGATCAGGGGCATCCAACTTTTGGAGTTTTCATCTAAAGCTGAAACCACTACACAGTTATGGCTTTGAATGTATGGTTCAGTTGTGTGCAGCCAATCTATAACTCTGAATGACTGTGCCATTTATTTATTCTTCTGGCTATCAGGCACATTCCTTGCAAAATTTACAAAATCTTTTTAAAAAAAGGAAGTTTTTACCCCAACTTATTAGATTTGTTCCTGTTTTTACAATTCAGGTCTCAATGCTGGAGATTGCAAAACAAGAGCTGATTTACAGGCAATGGGTTTTGTAAGGATAGTACGAAATAGATTAAGACTCTCAACGTGTTTTACCTCTGAATGTCATTAAAGAGAGAGGGGTGTGCTCTGACTGAGATGGGAAGAGTGCGCTGACTTTCTCTTGTGCCACTATTCCATGGGGCCACAATATAAATTTCATTACTTTTATGGCCATTTGTACGCTTTCAATCAATCATGTTTCTTTGATAATCACCTGTTAGGCCTCACTGTGGTAACATGCTGGAAATCAAGCCCTGCTATTGCCTGAATGATCACAAAAGTAAAGAAAAATTATCAAAGTATACAACCTTCGTAATTATCAGTCTGATAGACTCAGATTAACACAAATATGAACCGGGTTTCTGTTCTTGTCAAGAATTCCCACTTATTACAAGATTCTAACCACAGGTAAACAACTGTGAGCTGTTAGCATATAATTCATAGAGTTACAATCCTAGCCCTCCATTATATATGCATGCAGACAAAAAGAAGGTGTTATAGATGGAGTGGAAAATGGAAAGTACTGGGAAGGTGTTCAGTTGCACCAGTCCTGAGGATTTGATGGGGTGGTTCCTTTTCTTTCCCAGGTTCTTCAGTTCTCTGATCTTTTCCTTCATGTTCTCTCGCTTCTTCGCAGGTGGAATTGTAAAGTCTCTGACTTATTGGTTAAAAGTGATAGCTTAGAGCATCTGGTGCAAGAATACCACTGGCTTTGTATAGTTTCCAGTGTTTTTGCTGAGGTGAGAGAGAGGGGTCGTACTTCCCCTTTCAGAAATCCAGAGGCTTCTCACTATTGATCACACACAAGTTGTTTAGCTACCCAGGAACCAATCTGAGTTGTTGTCAGGCCGATGACCTTTGCCATTTTCAGCTGGTCACAATTCCATAAACCATCAGCAACCTGTTGCTGGCCGGATCTTGCTTTGCATATGTACTCTGGTACAGGACCAATTCCTCTTGCATCTTCTCCATTGCTTGCAAAGAAACTGTATAACCACAACTTAGAATGAGTATCAGTAACTTGCTTTTTACAAGTCTAGTAATTCCTTCCTCAGTCCTTTATTATAAAGCAGTCCTTTTCCCAATTCAGTACACAATCAAAAATAAAGTAAAATGAAAATGCAGTCTTAGCACACAAAATTGTTGATTTATTCTAAAACATAACAGTCAATGAAATTGCCAAATCTGGTGAACTTATTTAGTTTGTAATATGAAAATAAGAATGTTCAACCATCAAAATAACCCAAAGTGCAGATATAAGCTTGCAGACACATCCTCAAGGCCTTCATAGGTTCCCTGGCTCTCATTCCACTCCTGGTGCTGGGGTTCTGCCCTGTCTGCACAGTGTACTGTCCCTATTCACCCCAAGCCAAAATCTGACAGTCATGTCTCCTGCATGCCTTTGCTTCCTTTTAAAGAGCTGATAGTCGTATTGTGGTAGACAGTTTTTCCACCTACTCTTCTGTCCCTACAATGCAGGTTAATCGATCCATTTCATGCCTATGTGTTGAGTGCCCACTTTCCCTGTCACCTGCTGTACATACAAGTTCCAAATTCCCCTTGGCTCTGCTGGCCCTCTTATGGAGCCAGCCTGATGAGACTTGACTGACTCTAAATGTGTATTTGCCTTCCTTAGCTGTTGAAAAGCTGACAACTTTAGAAATTTGTGCAGCTTCGAAGTGTCCATTCTTCTTCTTCTTCAACAAGACCTTGACAAGCTTTTTAACTAGCTCAGTTGGGAGGATTTTGCTGTCCTGTCCTGCTGATTATTGATGGTATCTGGCATCACTGTTTCTTCTCCATTCCCCTCTCCAGGGTCCCTGATTCAGCTCCTTACGTTTACTGTATTAGAACTATTCATATTCCTGAGTACCTTTGTTAGATCACTCCTAAGTTTTTTTTTCCAGAGAAGGGTGACCTAGCTTTTTCATATCTTCCTGATAGGGGTAACCCCTGCAATTCTAGCATCATCCTTCTGAAACAATTTTGCACTTCCAAAGTGCTTCTGGATCCTTTTCACAATAAGGCAAGCAGGACTACACAAGGTACTGTGAGTGGTCTACCCAAGATTCAATTCAAGTTTAGCAGCAACTTCCCTAATTTTTAATTTTATGGCTCTGAATTCCACATATTTGGTTTGCTCTGACTGTGCCATCTTAGACTGAAGTATGTAATTGTTTTCCCTGGTTATTTACTGTGTAACCATACACCAGACAAAGCACGCTTTTTCACATTTAGAGGATTTTTGAGCTGATTCTAGGAGAATTGCTCATGATAGTGGTTGGTTTGTCTTTACATATTGTATTCACAGTTGTATTCTGTTGCTATAATGTGACTTTCAGATGCTGTGGTTGCAATCAGAATTTCAACTGCTTTATAAGAAGCTGCTCAAAAAACAATTTTATGACTTGTTAATTTAAAAACACCACTTGTATTCTAAGCTATAAATTGATTTGACCCAGAAACTGACTGTTCATCTCATGAAGATTTAATAACTTTCTCTTTGTGAGCTAATCTGATTATACCCTGCTCAATTCCATATAGCTCAATATCTCTCTTTTCCAAACAACGATTTAATTCTCTTTTTAAAATAATTTATGAACTCCTGCTTCAGTCGTGACTTGTGTCAGAGAATTTTGTTTTCCAACTGGCTTTGTGCAGATTATTTTCTGTAACTGGTGAAATAGCTGCACTCTTGTGATCTCTTTCTTTTCATTAACAGTTGTTAGCTGTGACAAGGTACAATCACAATTAAGCCTGCCGTCTGGGCAATTAGGAATAGGCAATGAATGCTGGCTGGGCCAGTGATGCTCACATTCTCTGAATTAAAAAAAAGTATTTTGCGTCAGCAGTTTTACCAATAGGGGGCAATTACAGAAATTGGGCTTGTTCTCTTTATGGAAGAGGAGAACATGACGTTCATGAGGATATAACAGGGATTTGACAAAATTATTCCAGATAAATTGATCATTCCAGTGAACCATTCAAATACCATTGAGCATCTTTAATAAACCATAAGAAACAGGAACAGGAATAGGCTGTCCCATCCCTTTAGCCTGCTCTACCATTCAATAGGATCATGTTGATCTGACACTCCTCACATCCCCTTTTCTACCCTTTCCCCATAACTCACGATTCCCCTACTGAGCAAGAATCTATCTGTCTCAGCCTTGAATTACACAAGGACTCTGCCCCCGAAGCTCTCTGTGGCAAGGAATTCAAAGACTCCCAGCCCTTTGACAGAAGAAATTCCTCCTCATCTCAGGCTTAAATTGGCACCCCTTAGTTCTGAGACTATGCCCTCTTGACCTAGACAGTCATATGAGGGGAAAGAAACATTCTGTCAACATTTACCCTGTCAAGCTACATGTTTCAATGAGGTCACCTCTTAGCCTTCTAAATTCCAGTGGATTAGAGTCTCACCTATTTAACCTTTGCTCGTAAGACAATTCCTCCATACTGGGGATCATCTTAGTGAACCTTCTCTAAATAAACCAGGATGATTGTAAATGTGCTACTTTGAATAGATTGGGCCCCTTCCAAATCTGATATGTCTACCTCTTGAAAGACAAAGGGCAGGAAACTGATGAAAACAGCACCTCCTGTAAGTTTCCCTCAAAGTCACACACCATCGTGACTGGACAGTATATCACTGTTCCTTCATTGTTGTTGTGACAAAAATGTGGAATTTTCTTTGTGACCACTTGTCTGCCTACGCCACGTGGACTATCACAATTCAAGAAAACAGCTTACCAGAACCTTTTTGAGGGTGATTAGCAATGGACAATAAATGCTGGCCTTTCCAACAGCACTCAAATCGCACAAACAAATCAGAAATCCCTAGCCTATCCAAACTATTATTAGAAAGGTGATATTATCCAGGATTCCGAAGGGTGAAAGAAATGTTGCTGTGCTGTCAGGGAAAATGTTTGGTAATACATTATGGTGACTTGTTAGCAGCAGCAAGAACCAATTTCGCTACGCTGTGTTCTTTTCCACTGTCTCTGAACATAAGATATGTTAGCTTATTCTAAAAATGTATCGTAGTTGGCTATTTATTTGCAACTTTGTTAGATTGTATGGAGTAATACTGTTTGCACTCAGAACATTTTTGGTTTACCATCATAAAGTGCTGAATTGCAAATTAGCCACCTAAGTAGCAGCAGCTAAGCAGCATTTTCTGAAGAAGGGCCCTGACCCGAAACATCAACTTTCCTACTCCTCTGATGCTGTTTGACCTGTTGTGTTCCTCCAGCTCCAAGTATTTTAGTCTGCAAGTATTTTATTTTCCCCCACTGTCCCTGAGAGAGTTTTGTTTTAATCAGGATTTTTTTGCTGATGGTTTCTTAATATGACTTTTCCTTTCTTCCTTCCATGTAGAATCCAAGATTCCCAGGAAATCTCCAGATGACAGACAGGCAACTAGAAGAGACAGGCGAAAATGATGTAAATAACTTGTAAGTAGCACATTAGATGTAGTGTTAAGAAGTGTAAATGGAGTGGGGAGACATGGTTCATTACATCTTAATTGTGCCTTGAGAGATTTGCTGTAGAGATGAATTTAGAATCTAGTGCTGCATCAATCATCTCTCACCATGGAGTCTTAGTATTTTGTCCAGTTCACAAATAAAACCTTGCAAGTTTGAATGGTTGCACAATTTCATAGAGAGATTACTGTGAAGTCCAGTTAAATAGAATGAGCAAGGACACTTGTTAATTGTCATTGAAAGAAGCAAATTATTTTTATTGTGTGGTGTTAACTAACATTCACTTGATACTTTTGGGATTGTGTTCCAGGATTCCATCATTTTTCAGTGAAAACATAAAATTTAGTGATGTTATTGTGCGGATTGATGCCCTATAATCAGAGCTACTCACTTATGGTGACCAAATTTATATATCATATAAACTGTACAGAATTCTGAGAGGAGCTACATGTTCTTGGGTTGCACTCCATGGACTTTTATTTACCTTTTAAATGAACAGCAGTGACTTTCCTGTAAAGTGAATAACCTGCTGGAGTGAGAGTAATTTTGGTTCACAATCTTTTTCTCATGACTTCCTATGTAGTTTTCTAAGGTATGTGTAAATTGGTTCAGGAATTTGAATTAATATATTGTCATTTTTTTTTCAACCAGCTAAATGCCACAATGCTTTAGAATCCCTAAATGAATCCTCTGAGAAATCCACATTGTAGAGTTTGTTTGCTGAGTATGTAGAATAGAATCTCTCCTGGTAGGGACACAGACATTTTGGGAAAGACCTAAATGGTAGTCAAAAGATTTCAAATGACACGGTGACTGAGTGGTTAGCACTGCTGCCTCACATTGCCAATGACCTGAGTTTGATTCTCCACCAGGCGACTGTCCTTGTGTCTGTGAGGGTTTCGTCTGGGTCCTCCCATAATCTAAAATGTGTGTTTTAGGTGGATTAGCCATGCTAAGTTGCCCATTGTGACTAGGGATGTGCAGGCTAGGTGGATTAACGATGGAAAATGCAGAGTTACAGGGATAGGGTAGGGGGATGGTTCTTGATGGGATGCTCTTTGGAGGGTCAGTGTGGCATCGGTGGACCGAATGGGATTCTACGATTCTATGATTTTATTTCATATTATATTACTATAAGGCTAGATCAGTTTAGAAACCATTAACTTGAAGAGAATTGCTGGCCATTTAGGGTTTTCATGAGTATACTTCCTGGATAGAGTACCGGTCGTTATAGATATGAATCTGTTTATTCAGGGATATATTAGTTCTGACACAAAGTTGTTTGCTGATCCTTAGTTGTAGATGTTGGATGTCATTATGATAAATAAATTCTGATTCTAATACATCTGCTAGGTAAACGTAGCTTCATATTCATGCAGATTCCACAGGCTTCTGCATCAAGTAAGCAGTTTTTATCCAAATTTCTAAAGAACCAAATGTGGACACCGAGGAGTGATAGAGGACATTCAGTCTTCTCCAGAGGTAGAGAAATCAAATCATCTAAGGCATTGGGTGGTTAACTCAAGGACAAGGACAAGTGCAATATCAATAAGTTTAACCCACTATGAAAAGAACATACTGTTCATTCATGTGTTTTGTTTTAAGTAAACTTGTTTGTTAATAATTGGTCTTGGTTTCAGTCTAATCTTTGCCAACACATATCTGGTGTAATTGTTCCAACCTTCCTTGCAGCTCATTAATTAGTGTGTTCTTAGTTTGTTCATCCTCCCCGCAGTTTGAAGACAGCACCGTAGTCCAGAGTTCTATTTCAGGTGGGAGGAATGTGAAGAGAAATGTAGGAGTAATAGGGGACAGCATAGATAGATAATTGATACTGTCCTCTGCAGCAAAGACAGAGTCCTGATGGCTGTGTTGCCTACCTGGTGCCAAAGTTTGAGATATCTCCTCTGTGCTAGAGTGGGAGGAGAAAGATCCAATTGTTATGGCATTGTAGGTACCCATAGCATAGGCAGGATTAGGAAAGAAGTTTTGCTGAGCGATTATGAATCGCTTGGGACTAAGTTAAAAAGCAGAACTGCAAAGGTAACAATCTCTACCTGAGAGTATTTCCTAAACCAAGGGGAAATTAGCATAGAGTAAATAAGATTCCAGAGATAAATGTGTGGCACAAAGACAGCGTGGGAGAAATGTGTTCTGATTCATGTGACACTGACACTGGTACTGGGCAAAAAAGAGCTTTTTCGTTGGAACCAGAATCTTGGGACCAGAATCCTGCTAAATTGTGATAACAAGAGGCTTTAAAACTAATTTGTGAGATGACTGGTTCAACTGAAGGGAAGTTTAAAAAATCAAACAGAAGCTAGAGACCAGAGGTGCAGCGTAGTGAAGTGATAAATGATAAAGTGTGGCAGGAAGGGGAAGAAAATAAGCATGGAAGAGTGCACCAGTAATTAGAACTAGAAAAGGTAATAATGGTAAAAGGCCAATGGCTCTTTATGTAAATGTGCATAGCATTTGTAACAAGACAAATAAGTTTTTGAAAAATTTATTCATAGGATGTGGGTATTGCTGGCTCAGTCAGCATTTATTGCCCATCCCATTTTGCCCAGAGCAATTAAGAGTCATCCGTATTGCTGTGGGTCTGGAGTTACATGTATGCCAGACCAGAAAAGGAAGGCAGTTACCTTCCCTAAGGAATATTAATGAGCCAAATGAGTTTTTCCCACAATTGACAATGGTTTCATGTCATCATTAGACTCTTAATTCCAGATATTTTATGGAATTCAAATTCCACTATCTACTCTGGTAAAATTTGAACTCAGGTCTGCAAAACATTCCCTGGGCCTCTGGATGAATAGTCTAGGGATAATACAATGAGCCTATCACTTGCCCTAAGGGGATCAGAACTGTTCACAGTATTCCAGTTGTGATCTGATCAGTAAAAACTGAAAAAACTGTGGACGCTGGAAATCGGAAATCAGAAACAAAAACAGAAGTTGCTGGAAAAGCTTAGCAGGTCTGGCAGCATCTGTGGAGAAAAATCAGAGATAATGTTTCAGATCCGGTGACCCTTCCTCAGAACAGTTCTGATGCAGGGTCACTGGACCCGAAATGTTAACTCTGATTTCTCTCCACAGATCATGCCAGACCTGCTGAGCTTTTCCAGTAAGTTCTGTGATCTGATCAGTGCCTTTGCTACCAATTTTTATTCTCCATTCCCTTTGAAGTAAAGGCCAACATTCCTTTCGCTTTTCCTATTACCTGCTGAATTGGGATGCTAGTTTTTTTGTGATTCATGAATGTTCTGCATTGCAGTTTTTTGCAGTATTTCCCTATTTTAATAATCTATTCTTCCTGCTAAATTTCATAACCTTACATTTTCCCATATTTTGTTCCATCTGCCTAGTTTTTCTCCCCATTCATTTAACCTGTCTATACCCCTCTGTAGACTTCTTTTCTTATCCTCACTATTTGCCTTCCTACCTATTTTTGTATCAGACACAAACTTGGTGATAGTACTTTTACATCTGTCATCTAAGTAGTTAAGAAATATTGTAAATAATTGTGGCCTCAGAACTAATCCTTGTGGTACTCACGAGTTATTGGTCGCCATCCTTAAAATTCCCCTTTATGATCCGTCTTAGGGTCTCAATTATACAGCATCTGAATTGATGGCTTGGAAAATGGGGTAGAATGTAATTTCTCCAGATTTGCTGCTGATACAAAAATAGGTGGGAGGGCATGTTGCAATGAGGACATAAGGAATCAGCAAGAGTATAAAGGTACAATGAGTGTGTGGGTGAAAATTTGACAGGTGGAATTTCATCTAGGAGCCAATGAGGCCATGCATTTTGGGAGGAAGAATCAAAAGGCAGAATATAACTGAAAAACAGAGAGATTCCAAAAATATGCAGTGCAGAGGGATCTAGGTGTTCTTGTGTATAAAAAAAAACAATATTTAACATGCAGGTGCAGCAAGTAATTCAGAAAGCAAATGGAATTTTGGCCTTTATTGCAAGAGGTTTGTAGTTTAAAAGCAAGAGTCTTGTTATAACTCTACTGGATGTTGGTGAGGCCACACCTCGAGTATTATGTACAATTCATGTTCCCATGCTTTAATTGAAAGTATCTACTGGCATTGGAGGCAGTTCAAAAGAGATTCATGAGGCTGATTCCTGAGATGAAGCGATTGATTTATCACGACTGATTTAAATATTTAGGTCTTTATTCATTAGAGTTTAGAAGAATGGGGGTGATCTTATTGAAATCTACGAAATGCTGAGTGGGCTTGACAGGGTAAATATTGATAAGGTGATTTCACCTAGTGGGGGAATCTTGAACCTGGGGACATTCCTGTTAGGATGAGGGGGCACTCATTTAAGATGGAATTGGCCTGAATGACATGTTGAGTTTTGGGGCAGGTCAGGCCTGATCTTGTTGGATAGTGGGACATGCTTGAGGGACAGAATGGTCTGTTCTTACTCCCATTGCTTATGATCTTATGTTACATACCATCTGTGGCCGGTTTCCCTTCCTTGTACGCATTCTTCCTCTTGGCAAACTTGTGGGTAAACAAAAATTCAAGTCCATCAGTGACCCTTCTCATTCCTTTTCGTCACCACTGTGTTGTATCATCTTAAGACAATATTGGACCTTTAATTGATAAAGGCCTTTCATGACTCACCATCAAAACCAAAGTAATCTGTTTGGTCTACATAGAAAATACGAGCAGGAATAGGCCATTCAGCCATTTGAGCCCACTGCACGATTCAGTGTTTTCATGACTGATCATCCAACTCAGTAGCCTGTTCCCACTTTCTCCCATACCTTTGATCCCTTCAACTCTAACCATTATCTTGAATAGACATTTAAATCTCTGCATCCACATATGTATCTTGATTCAGCCTAATTCCTACCTTATTTTTCTAATCCTAACTTTAGATTCATGGGAGAATCTAGGACTAGATGCAATAGTCTCAGAATTAAAAGGTGCCAATTTCAGACTACGT